AGGGGTTCATGAAGGAAGGGGAAGGATGAAGAGCTGATAACCAAGGGCTCAAGTTGAAGACGGTGCCCTTCTCTTGCAGAATGATTTTTATCAAGGCCTTTCCGAAAGCATGTGAACTGAGATTTGTGCCTGGGTTGGGGCACCATGACATTGCACGCGAGGGCGGCATTTGGTCTCAGGAGGAGCTTGCATTTCAATGTCTTCAGCCTTTCCAATTGGTGTGAATCACAGGCATGCAGGACAGTGAAGAGCTAAACAAGAGGGAACCTGCCTGCTGATGTCTCTCTGTGCTTGCCCTCGCTATGTCTATGGGTGGAACAGTGAGCGTGATATTGGCAGACAGAAATGATGGGTCTGTACCCCATGACACCTGGCTGTCCAAGAAGTACACCTTGTCTAAATGCTGGCACAGTTGGCTTCTCTGCTTTCCACAGACATTTTTGCCTGGCTGTGAAGGGCATGTGATGGATGAGCAGCTATCAGCTCCCAGGACTCTTGTGCTAGTGGGCATCTGCCTTTCTATACAGTTCTATCATCAATCACATCTGCCACTCTCTGAAATGACAAACCTGTAGATGACATGGAAATATCATGGCCCATAATGGCTGCTGTTCTAATGATGTAATGGAAAGATGATTATTTGTTGCTTGCCTTGAAATCATGATTTTTCTCCAGTAATAGTCCCTCAGAGTTCCTTAATGTTCCAGCTATTTCTTTCCTCTGCCTGTGCCGCCATCACCCCAAACCTATCTTTAAAAAAACGACTCTGTACTTTGTACCGAAACCCTGTTTCTTGATACCTCTAGCTCTATAAAGGGGCTTACACCAATGTTTTCCATGAATCGTGGTTTCTGTCTTTAAATTGTTAAAGACTAAGTCTAATGAGGAACTGTGGGTAAGATATTTAAGAGAGCTGGCCAAAATCAATAAAGAGCATCTTTAAAAGAAAGGGGAGCAAGCATCTATCAAAGAAAGGAGAGACACTTGCTAGAGTAATGCAAGTGTGAGTGTGCCAGCGAGCCTGGGGAGGAATGAGTGGGTTGGGAGCTTGGGGGAGGGGGGTTATAAAAGAGATGGTTTGATTAATGATGAAGTAGGTGTGGAATCTCAAGTGAAAAAGTTAAACTGAAGAACAAATTTCCCTCTCTAGAAACTGACATACTACAAGTGATATAAAGGAAGCTCCAATTTCCCATTATCTTTTTCATTCCACTTTTCCACAAACTTTTTTCCCCTATGAACATTTTTTAATAAATCACTTTTTTAAATCATCTTATTGGGGGCTTGTACAACTCTTATCACAATCCATACACACATCCATTGTGTCAAGCACATTTGTACATTTGTTGCCATCATCATTCTCAAAGCCTGCGAACTTTTAAAAGTCCCTAATATATGTCAATGTTCCTTTCCCCCACCCCCACCCCCAAATCATTGTAAGGGGAATAAAGTCTTGTGAGGTGGGGAACGATAGCTAGATTTTCCCAACAAGATTGGTTAGCATATAGTTTTCCTTATTATGTAAATATTTCAACTATTACAGAAGACAAGGGTATGTGCATAATAAACCAGGCAATAAAACCATATATATTGTAAAACCCATCATTGAAACATGCTAAGTATGTGTGTACACAGTATAAATAGGAAATATTTTTAAAGTGGATTCAAGAAAATAAATGCAATGGTTAATAAGTCTTGACAAGTAAATTTCTAATGACATTAAGAGCTGCAAAGGACAAAGAGTCAGAATATCTCTTTATGAATTATTTTTAAAATATGAGTTATTTCTGTACTGAATGTAAGAGTTATTTAGAAAACAAATATTTCTTCCCTCTTAATATGAAGATTTTTCCAAAATGATTTGCCAAGAGTTTATCCAGAGACAAAGCCAAGTAAGTACATGTCCTCTGAAAGGGAGCCTGTAAAGCAAAGTGCTGACAAGTTGTCATAAGGGCTTCTGCACAGACACAAAGAGGTTTTATTTGTAATTAGGTCTGAAAAATTCATTTCTGCAGATGATCTCTTGGAAATATATTTTGCAGAATATTATCCCATGACTTCATATCAGAAATGTTTTCTTCCCCTCGCATAAATTGAGAACATAAAGGAAAAGAGGCAGCAGCCTTTGAAAACCAGGTTGTTCATGTTTAATGTTACAAATAACTTGAGACTTATAAAAACATAGTTTCCTTCAGACCTTGGGCTTCGGTGACGATGAAATGCTTGGTCCTTATTTTCACTGGTTATCTTTAAAAGCTTGAGGTTACCTACGGTTCCACCAGTTCAACCACTGAAAACATCCAGGCATCGCTCAAAAGTGATTAAAGATGCCAGTAGGAGGGTACTTTGGGGAATTACAAAGCTAGTTCATTTCTGATCCTTTTTCATGATAAGACTAGTGTTCTTTTGCAATTTCAGCATGTTAGGTTTTTTTTTTGTGTGTGTGTGTGTGTGTGTATACAGAAAGAAGTTGGAAAATCTAAGCACTCGTTTTTTTTATAATAAACATTCCCCCCCCACCCCCCAGAATCATGGTTTGCATAGTGATTTCCATGTCAGGGGCATAATTCACAGTACGGCTTGAAAAATAATTTTCATCAGAAATATTTACTCCTGTGTAGGTTCTTCAAAAACTGTGAGCATGTTATTTGCCAGCCCCCATTCTTTTTCACTCTTCTCCTCCATCCTTTCACGGAGGTTCTGAGATGGAGAGAAAGTCTGTATGTAAGCGCATGTTGGGCAGGGTCTATGTTCACTTCGTGTTGAACTCAATGAGAAGCCATTACGTGAATCAAGCTCGTCTAACTACTCATTTGCTTTTCCAAATCATCCCAAGGGGAGGGGGTGGGGGGACCCAGGGGCATTATATGAAAGCACGAAAAGGCAGCAGCATGCTGCTCCGGATTATCCAGAATAAACACTGCTGGCATAAGAAACTGAAGATAATATGTTTGAGTTTTGTTTTTAAATTGACCTCCAAAACTGAGCATTGCCACAGTGATTAAAAAGTATGTGTTTATCTCCTTAGAAGATTCTCTAGCCAGTTCTTTTTAACTTAGAGAGGACAAGGTAGAGCATAGAAGATATGCACAGAGACTAGATATTAAATCAAACGTCATGGTGCTTATTTGACGATCTTTTTGAAAACAAGCGTATTGCCTGGGAAAGATTATCAGGGGGATGGAGGGCTAAATGGACAGCCTAGCCGAACATCCAAATCCTGACACAGCGATGCCATCACGGAAACATGGTGATGCGGTGCAAGGCCTCCGCAGAACACTGAAACACTTCCAGAGCACCCTTCTAGAAAACTCCTTTCATTGCTCAAGAATCGTCACAAGGAGTTCCCACTTTAAAATCCACGCACAGAGAGCTCGGGAGAAACCACACCCACTCTGTTGTTCAAGTCACCACATACCTTGTTTGCTCTAGTTTACATACATCCACACACACACACACACACACACACACACTCACACTCACACACACACACACACACACACACACACACTCACACTCACATATCAGATGAGATAAGGATGAGAGCTGTTTAAGCCAAACTATAAATTAGATCAGAGCTGGGGTTAGAACTCAAATCTCAGCCCCAGAGGCAGCTGACAGCTATTCTAGACTCTGAACAAGTCTACTTCACTCTCATGAACACTACATCGGCATGAATGTTTTATCTGATGATGCCTGCAATTGATTACTAAAATCCCAGACAATGAAACCATATTTCTTTATCCTTTGACCTCAGCCAGCTCAAAACTGAGGACTCAGGTACGGTATTTAATATCTGGGCGCTTCCCTCATCTACGGCCCAGAGAGTAGATGGGCCATCTCTAAGGGATCTTGCAGTCCTACGACTTCTGCCGCCCATCTCCTGAGTCGTGCCTCATTCTGAGTACTTCGAGCTTTCACTAGGTGGCAGGATTCCACCATCACATTCCGAAAGGGGTTTTTTGGTTGTTTCTGCTGGATGCCTGAGAGCAGAAATTTTCAAAGAAACTTCTTTATGTTGAACATTTTTAAAAAAGCAAATGCCAAAGAGAAGGAATAGCGACAAAGGCCAGTGTTCTGTGTATGTCATAGGGATCTAGGTCCATTTTTTGAAAAATAAGCATTAAATAGGAATTAATGAAGCACACGTGAAATATGACGATTTAATACTAAATCAGGTAAAAGCTGGCTAGGTTTCAAGACATTTCAAAATTCATCTTGATCGGTCCCACTTAGACTATATTTACAGCCCTTCAAACAAACAGGCAAGATATTAGGCTACAAAACAAACCACCTAAAACAACGAAAATATCCATAACACGTTAAAGCGCTACTCAATGCGTTTCACAGCTACCTACCTATAACGTTCCTTACAATGTATTTTAAATATCTTTACATTTTATCTGGAGCTCTTCACCAGGAGACGGAAAAAGAAATATATGAAGTTTGCATGTGTGTGTCAAGCCCTTAAAAGGGCATTCTTTTAAAGAGAGTTTGTGGCTTCTTCATCATCCTTCAAAAATTATTGCCCAAAATTGGCTTTTTCTTGAAAAGCTGCATTCTAAATGCCACTACTAACACGAGGAAAGTCCGCTAGCCTGAAGGGTTGCTTTGAGTTGAGCCCGTCTCCCCAGCCAGAGGCAAGGGAAGGGGCACGAAATCATAATTCAACTGAAAAAACGCTAATATTGCCTCGAGTGGATGGTTGCCAAGTGTCCTAACGGCTGTCAGAGAGGATGATTATCAGGCCTTCTCCTCCGGTTGATAATATGACACCCTCTTGCTAATTGCACGTTCATTGTATAATATGGTCTATATTAGCCTTCCCACATTTCTTAAAACACAAACTAAAACAAACCAAAAAACCAAGATATGACTTCTTGGTCAAAACTTGTAAACGCCACCAACAGGTTGCTCGCCTGCCCACCGGGCCCAGAGCTGAGCTGAGGAAGGACCCCCACCACCACCGACCGCCTGACCGACTGCTTTCAGCGTCCTACCTTCGCCACTTGTAAGGGCTGCTGCTGCTCCTTGCCACCTTGCAATCGGAACCCCCAGGGCGCACCTCCGGTCATGGAAATGCAGATAAAATCCCCTGTGCCCATTGTCTCCTGTTAGTTGGGCAGCATGAAGAACTAGGAAATGCTGGGAAGCCGGGCTGCGGTTGAAGATGCGCACTGATCTTCGGGCTCCTGCCCGGGAGGCGGACTGGGGCGCGCGGAGCCGGCCCGCTCTGCTGGCCGCGGCCGTGAACTTGCACTGGAATGGACTCGCTCCCGGGAGCGCGGAGGCGCCGGCTCGCCCGCCGCCAGGACACAGCCCCCTCTTGCGTCACGCTCCTCCGCTCAGCCCACCTTCGGGAGAGGACCGCCGCCGCCGCCGCGCGCTGGGGAGAGTGAACCCATTTTGGGTAAGATGGAAGGGCGAGGGAGAACAAAAGTTCTCCACCACGAAGAGATTAAGCCGCCGCATGTAGAAGGATTGGAGCCCCTGCATTTAACAACGTTATGCATCGTAGAGGACGCACGAAGTTGCTCGTGCCACGATGACATCTTAAACTGAGAGAATGCTCTGAGAGTGAGGAGGATGAGTCTCTCAAGTGTTTTGAGAAGGACCACGTTGGTGAATAAGACGGACTCAAAGGCGTTACAGTGGGTTAAAGAATTATTTTTCTTAGTTTTTATTGCAGAAGTAATTCCATAAGAGGAATAAAATATACGTTTGTTAAAAACAACAACACTCACTTTATACTCTACAAAGTACTTTTCTGAACTATAATACATTTTTTCTAGAAAGAGAGAGGAATAGTCCCCCCCGGAAACTTCATTTTTATAACTGTTTAATAAATCTATTACGTCGTTTGAGATGCCTTACGTTTTAAAAGGTGTCCCATTTGCTTCCTTTGGGCTCACTTTCTGAAACATGAATCCTATAGCCAACTGTATGCAATGTCATCGATTTCTTATTTTTATACTTGACATGTTCTGAATCTGGGTGGTCCCATGTAAAAGTGAATTTCTCCTAGAGTTTCAATGTCTTAAATAGTGAGACAATGTTTCAAAAACATACAAATGGAATATGTGTGGGTTTGTTTTTGTTTATTTTTGCTTTCACAACATCATTTTCCATCCATATAAAAAAATACCGCTAAGGGAAGAGCCTGGGAAAGCTGGATTGTGTTATAAATGGTAGGAGACAAAAATGCTATCCATGCACTGTGTATTTCAGTCCTCAGAAGGGCTGTGCAATGAACATTTCCCCAGGCCCTGCACCTCTGAAGTCAAACCTGTCAAGGGGTTTTATTTACAGACCATTCCGGGAGTAAGGAGGGCAATGAAACAAAAATTCAGTACAGGACAAGCCCTAAGAATCATGAGGACCAGACTGAGTTTCTTCAGAAAAGTGAATTGCCCTTATGTTAGCCTTGGTGACATAGTGGTTATGAGTTGGGCTGCGAACCTCAAGGTCAGCAGTTTGAAACCACCAGCTACTGCGAAGAAGAAAGACGAGGCTTTCTACTCCCGTCAAGAGTTGCAGTCTCGGAAACTAGGTTCTACCCTGTCCTTTAGGGTCATTACGAATCTAAATGGGCGTGGTTATGTTGGTTACTTTTCCTCTAAACAAGTAGAAAATGTTACAAGGGAAATCTCAAAAGATGAGCTCTGAGCAAAAGGAGGGGAATCAACTGTTAACGCTGGTTTGCTAGTTTGTTTCTGTTTCCTTACCTCTCTTTTGCTCCTAAACCCAAGGTAGTCCAGCTTCTGTCTCCACAACAGAAAAGGCTCTTGGCTTGGTGTCGTATTCTCACCTTGTTTTTGTGTGACACTTGATATCAACTAGCAAGTCCATAACACATCCTCCTTAAGCATGTTCTCTTTATTTAGGCTTTGTGGTAGTTACATAATCTGTTGTCAACTTGAGACCATTAAGAGCGAAGGGGTGAAGTTTAGCCTGTCAATCAGGTCGCAGCTTCATGGCCTCATTTGGAGGCGCTAAGGAGATAAATAGCTAGCTGGAGGCGGGACACACACTCACTCCCTGTGAGACATTCCTGTTGACAAGTCACATGGAGCTAAGCTGATGGCAGCCAGAGCCTTTGAGCTGGAGCAGCCATGTGGAGATCCATGCCAGCCCGAAGACGCTTCTATCGCCACTGGATTCACAAGACTTTCCACCCACTGGCCTGTGATCTTCCTGCACTCAGCGTCATTGCATGTGTTCGGTGAGTCTGAAAAGGAATTTACAGACTGGTACTGGGCATATGGGCTAATATCGGACTTATGGACTTGATCTGGACTGGGCTGGGATGTTTTCCTATTGTACAAGGACTCTTTATACAAAGCTCTTTCTTATAATCATATGAGTATCTATGGATTTGTTTCTCTAGTCAACTCAGAGTAGCACAGGCTTTCTAGGAGATAACATACTCTTCTTGCCTTTCCTTGGCCTCTGTAGCCACTCCTGTCTCTCTCCTTTGGTAGCATCTCTGCCTCTCCTCGTCCACTAAAGACTGGTATTCACCAGGGCTACATCCTAGCTGTTCTTTCTCACCCTACCCACTTTAATGAGCCCTCTCATAATTCCTGCACAATTTTTCTCGATTACAGATACCTGTCTTGAGCTCTAGCCCAGTGTACCCAACTGACAGCCAAAACTTGTTCCTGTATAACAACAATAAGGCCACTGCCGTCGAATCTTGTCTGACTCACAGTGGCCCTTGATAACGTTTTCAAGATGACAAATCCTTAAGAGAGCTGGCAAATGCATCTTATTCAGATGCCTAAAATTCAATTGTTCAGAACCAAGTAATTTCTTTTTTGTTAAATCCCAAAATCTGTCTGCTTACATGTTTCCCAACTCAGAATAATGACTAGCCCATTACCTTTCTTCTATGTCTGATTCCCTTCAACTCTGATTTGAATGTACCTGTGATGCTGGAGGCTGGCACTGGGGCAGCTGTGTTGTGACCAGGAAGGAAAGGCTAAGATCACTGCAGAGTTCAGTTCTCACCAAACCAGTGGCAACAGCTGTCTGGCCC